ATTGCACCTCTTCAGAGATTAAAACAAAGAGAGTCACTCTTCCACATGGTCTTCTCACGTATAATGCTGCCCACAAACATTTTACAAGTAAATGTTGTAATGGCATATCTGACCACAAGGGAGACGTATATTTGTTGGAGTAAATGTATTATTCACAGGCCACTCGTGTTCTCAAAAGCAGTGAGAAAAATATCATATTACATCTGGAGGTCAAATTATTAAGGGTAAATTGCCATGTAAATCACTCCAAGGAAATGCACTAAGTACCATTCATATGTGATTGGATGGCAATGGTAACCCTGATGCGTAGGTTTTCACGGTTGTACTGTATTTCTCTCTGATGTTTTTCGGTTTGTACTGCATGTTGTTCAGCACGATGTCCGATGTTTCACTCCACACTGCTGGAGCAGTTTCAGGCAGAATGCCCCCAGCACGTGGAGGGAAAAGCATGATGTTTGACATTCTGCTCCACACGAGGAGCTGGGAGCGTGATGGGTTTTTTTTCAGCAAGGATATCTTAACATGTAGAGCAAAATATCATGCTGAATAACATGCAGTACATCCCAAAAAACCCATCAAAGATCTCGCCAAAGTAATCTTTACTGGATTCTCTACCTGTAATATTTAGTTTAAAATACAATAACGATGGCATTATAATGCGTGATTGCCAATTTTTTGTTCAGTTTATTCTGAATACGCTCAAAGACGGGTCTGCTTTTATCATTCTTGGTAGGGAGCTTGTGTCAGTCATACAAAGACAGAGATTGCCCTTATTTGTGGCAAATACCTCATCTGGACACAATCAGCGTGCATGCAATGTTGTGGGTCCTATTTATTCATCAGTTAGTCCCATGAGTGGCAGTTTTCAAATGAAAATAAAACAACCGCTTTGAATTTCTCAGATATGATGCACTTCAAGTGCAGAATGTGAATTAGGCATAGACTGGACTGTTTTTTTTTTATATTGTGTGCACTTTTCCTCTTTCTGTTGTGCCCTTGCTTGCATCATGGTTTTACCATTTGACCCCAGAAATAATGAGATATGATTTTATCTATGCAGAAGAGTTATTTCTAAATGTTTTGCCACCCATTAGGCATTTAAATGAATGAAATGTATGTTTCCCTGTACCTCAGGCCATCATATCACACCACATCATAAACAACTTCAATACCTTTAAATTAACGTTTAAATAGCTGGAGAAAAATGATTGTTTTTTCCTGTACGTATCCTATAACGATTGGCTGTACTGTTTATTGCTTTTTTCAACAATGAAGGAATGAACAATGGAATATTACATTTTATTATATTTTTTCACGTTTGATTGGAAATATTTGAACACAGATGACACGAGGAAAAATACAATAATTCTGGACACGGAAATGTTCATGAAATAAGCAGTGCTTCGTGAAAAACGATCCATGCGACCACACTAACTTTACAGTTCCCTTCGCCTCCGCCCCACATGTGCTGGTTCTGCAGGGCTACTTCCAGGCACAATTTAAGTGTATAGTCTGACTAAAAATCACAGCATCATTCAAGATCAACTATAAGACTATCATTTTAAAAGTTAGTCTTCAATGGTTCCTTTGTAAACTTTGTTTTAACTTTTTTCAAAGCTCTCAGTAAAAATGGTTTTGTGATGCTCATTGTAGACGGTCACAATCTTTGCTATTGGCTGATGCCCAGCTCCAAATGCCGGATGAACAGTGAAGTCACTTGGGTTTTGCTCTGGGAATTTTTAATCCGTGGAATTTTTTGGGTGTAAATTTAGATAAATGAATGGGGAGCTCTGCCAACAAAAGCAAAGGGTCATCAATAAACACCACCGCTTAAAGATCTCTGTGTACAACTTAATTTATTTTACAAAACACATAGCTCTCCATGCGATGCCATTAATTATAATGTTACTCCGTAGACAGTATTGTGTTTCGGATCAAGTGGAACATGTTTAAACATTACATTCATCACTGCATGACTGTTTTGCAAAACCAGATTGCTAAGAAATTGCATGCAGTGTTGCAATCATTGGGAGAGGGCTCAACAAAACACAAAAAAAACAGTTGGTGTTTCGTATAAAATTATACATATATATATCTTCTAAGCTAGCCTATTCTGTGTAGTGTCGTCCTCACAATTGAGAGTTAACATCCATGGAAGAAGCTCGCCATATTTTGCGATCTTCTGCATCCCTCATGCAGAGTCCTCTCCGACTGTTCACGCTCTCTCACGAACTTGGTCCGTTTCCCTTCCTCTTCCCCTTTTCCACTCATCCATTTTTTTCTCTTCCAGATTCATCTGTATCATATCTCCAGCTGTGACCCTCTTAGATAATTCCCACAATGCCACATTATTTCACACAAGTCTGCTTGCCAAGGGGGGTTATTTTTAAATGAAAACATAGAACTAGAACACGAATGTAATGTCATTAAAGTTTAATTGCCTTTTATGTTTGTACGAAGCCAACATTGGAGGCTTCAGACTGGTCATTGCATGTTATTTTATCGTAATTTCACGTACTTTCATTTAAAAAACACTGAAAAGTACATTCTTGGCTTGCAACAATTTGGAGCATTACTTTTCAAACTAGGCTTCGTATTTTTCTGTTCTGTGAAGCGATGTTTCTTAAGGTGCAATGGCTAAGCCAGTAGAATAGAGCATTGTAGTATATTAAATGTATTCTGCGTTTTGGTATATTTGACCATATCCAGGAGTGAACATAAGCAGCATCATGCACTATTCAATCATATTTGTCATAACGGCACCTGTCCTACGATATCTACAGACCACACCAATGCACTGTAAGCCCAGCCTTTGACAAATGATTTTTCTTTGTAAAGCATCTGTTTAGAGTAATAGGAAAAGATTGGTGTGTGAGGTCTGGTGCTGCCCTGTCATCATCGTAAGAACATTGCTGGTGCGTGCCAGATCGTGTCTGGAGAATCACAGACGTGTGGGTGATCATTACGGTCTGTGTCAAGCAGGTGCTGAAAAATTATCTGTTTCTGAGAACTACATTTTCCATTTTGTTTCTGTTTGGAGGATAAATGCTGAAAAAGTAATGATCCAGCAACATTGACCAGCCCCTTGTTACGAGATTGAATGTGATCCTAAATAGAATGAATAGTTGCTGGCAGAATGTATAGTAGTTGTCATCTACAGTTGTGCTAGGAATTCCAATTGCAAAAGATGCACATGTTTTGCCTCATTTCCAGCCAGGTCTGCTTTACGAATTAGGAACTCTATCTTCTCCTACAAGATTGAGCGTTTCATAGCTTGCATGGGCAACTTTGTGGAATTTCTCCTCACGGAATTCCGCCTCTTGAAAGGTTGTTGAACAACTCAAACATGAAACAACAACAACAGAGTTCACCTTTCTGGTTGCTTTATTTTTTGACACAGGTGCTAGGAATTCAAACAGCACGTCTAAATAATGCATTCGATAATACTATAATTTGTGTTAGAATTATTCGTTTATGATCCGTACAATATAGTTCACCACAGCCGTTATTTCACAATGGCGAGCTCTCTTGCAGTAACATTTACAATGAATACTTTTTTTTGTCCTCTCGGTGAAAAAGAATCCTGAAAAATTGCTGTCAGGATCGTCTTCTTGTCTCAATTTAACGAGGACAAGTATAGAATTTACAATTACACTATATCGTATTGATATATGAAACTGTCAGATGAAGCCCAATTTATTTTTGTCCAGTGATTCTTTTGTCGACATTGCACCTTAGAAGAGTATTATGGTGTAACGGTTATGAATTGGCCGTCAAAAGAGCGAGTCTCTATCTGGTGCCTCAAGATAATCGAGCTGCATTTACACGGAGCCCATTTCCTTTCCCAAAATTTGGCACGCCAAACTGGCAATCGTCTGAGCTGAATGGGAAGCTATCGCGTCACTACCACTGGAGAAAGTTACTGAGAACTTAACAGACTTACCCATGTCAACAGAGATTTTTTAAAAAAAGTTGAGTGCAGTGACAGAATTAAGCAAAGCAATGGATGCGAAGCGAAAAAATGCACGTAATGAATGATTGAGGTTGTGCTCTAAAAATATTATAAGTAATATATAATTATATGGCAACTCAAAATAAAACAAAGACATTATGCTCGTTATATATATAAAGCTACGCTTTCTAAAGGTAGCGAAATGACAGTCATTAATAATAATTAAGCTAAACGTTAAATATAAATGTATCTGAAGTCTGCTTAAAATTACATTCATGTTAAAAATGACTTTCCTGGAATATGACATTGCTTGGCATTGATTCAGTTTTGCAGCATTAATCAACGCATTTGACAATAGAATAAAAATCCAGTGTAAGATGCGCGCGCACCAATGACAGAATTGGCTGCACCAGCCTTTAACATCCATCTAAACTTATCAATGTATGTGTCTGCTTCTGCTCTGATAAAAAAAAAACATTGATTTATCGTTGCCTGTGAATGCTATTGAGTTGTTTGGGTAAAGAAAAATAGGTTTCTTATGTGGTTGGGGGATTAAAATCTAAAACAGTGATTATCCACTTTTTTTAAAGGAGACCGATATGAAAGAGTACACAAGTATGTGTGACTTTTACCTGTTCGGGGGGGGGGGGGGAAACAAATGTGGTTTAAATGCGTCCTACTTTAAAATACTAAGGCAAAAATATAGGCAGACATTCATTGGAAACAGTACTTTAGTGATATCACTGTGTAACAATTTTTTTTATCCTGGGTAGTAAGTGTTATTTCCTATTTTTTTATGCCTCAAAGGTACAGAAAATGGCTATTATTCCCCACAAACTTTGCTTTTGTGACCAGGACAGTGATACTTTGAAATTTATATCTTTTCCAGAACATGCCAGATAGATTCAGTGCTGAGTAAACTTGAGTAAACTTGGAGTAACTTCTAGAACATTCTAGAACTTTCCAGTAATATAAATAGTAGTATAAATACAGGAGCCTTAAGCCCACCAGTTCAGTTTAGTTCCAGCTGCCTCAGTGTATACATATATGCATTTTTCTGAGATGGCATCAAGAGGCTGCAAGCATCCGGCAGACGCATTTTGCTATGTCTGCGGACGATTTATCAAGACAAGAGTGAAAAAGTACTCTGTGGAAGCATCTGCTAAGATGTGTGAGGCCTACAAGGCATATTTCAGCATGCCTGTTGGTGATCAAGACAAACCCTGGGCACCTCATTTCACATGCGAGCAATGCAAAAAAAACTCTGGAAGGTAAGATGGACAATTGTTGCTCGGAATTTTATGTTATAAAATTACTTTAAAAAATGTGAAATTGTAAAAGTTTTTAATTTTCAAATGTTTTACAATTTTCAATGTTATTGAAAAAATATATATCATATATGAAAAATGTTGCGAGAATCTCTTACACATTAGTCATAGGTGAAATAAATTTATTTTTGTAGGATGGTACAGAGGGAAAACGAGAGCCATGAAGTTCGCTATCTCAATAATTTTGTGGGAACCCACTGACCACTCAAGCAACTGCTACTTCTGCATGGTGGACCCTTCCAAACGTCGGACTGGCAAGAATGCACCTGCTATCACGTATCCAGACCTTCCTTCATCCATTGCCCCAGTACCACACTGCCATGAGCTCCCCGTACCCACTCCTCCGGAGAGAGAGCAGCCATCTTTTGAAAAAAGCAGCAAGTCAGAGAGCGAGGAAGACGTTGTAGATCCAGATGACAATTTCAGAGATGGAGCTGAGGAGAGAAACCCATACTACCCCAACCAAAAAGACCTCAACGACTTGATCAGAGATCTTGGTCTCACCAAGTCCAATGCCGAGCTTTTGACGTCTAGGCTCAAGCAGTGAAACTTGTTGGATAAAAGTGTGCAAGTTGTAAATCAGAGGAAGTGTCACCAACCTTTTTGCAGCTTCTTCACCCATCAAGATGGGCTCTGCTTCTGCCACAATGTGACCAGTCTGTTCGAGGCAATCGGAATCGCCTGTAACCAGAATGAGTGGCACCTCTTCATTGACAGCTCATCCAGGAGCCTCAAAGCCATGCTGCTCAATAATGGTAACAAGTACCCGTCTCTTCCCCTGGCTCACTCGGTGCACCTCAAAAAGGATTACAACAGCATCAAGACCTTGCTGGATGCCTTGAAGTATGATGAGTACTGGCTGGGAGGTCAATGGAGACTTCAAAATGGTGGCATTCCTGATGCGTCTCCAAGGTGGTTTTACCAAGTTTCCCTGCTATCTTTGCCTTTGAGACAGCAGGGACACCAAGGCGCACTACCACAGGTGGGACTGGTCACAGCAGACCGAGTTCTCTGTGGGGAGGAACAACGTCAAGTGGGAGCCACTGGTGGACCCCAGGAAGGTGCTGATGCCATCACTGCACATCAAATTGGGCCTTATGAAACAATTTGTCAGAGCTGTAGATAAGAAGTCGGCTGCCTTCAAGTAACTTCAAGACTTCTTCCCTAACCTGTCTGAGGCAAAGGTCAAAGCCAGGGTCTCCGTCGGACCACAGATAAAGAAGATCCTGGAGTGCAATGAATTCCCCAAGAAGCTTACTAGTAAGGAGAAAGTGGCTTGGGACAGCTTTGTCGCAGTGGTTCGTGGCTTCCTGGGCAATCACAAGGTCGAAAACTATGTGGAGCTGGTTGAGACTGGTGAAGAACTACGGCACAATGGGCTGTAGGATGTCCCTCAAATTCCATATCCTTGATGCTCATCTTGATAAATTCAAGGAGAACATGGGAGCGTACTTGGAGGAGCAAGGCAAGCACTTCCACCAGGATATACTGGACTTTGAACGCTGCTACCAAGGACAGTATAACGAGAACTTGATGGGAGGCTACATTTGGGGGCTGATTCGTGAAAGTGATTTACAGTATAATCGTAAATCTCAAAAAACTACTCACTTCTAAATCTTTTGTAGTAATTTTTTGTATTACTTTAGTATAAATACATGTTAATTTTGATTCATATGTTGTTATTTTCTGACTTTATGTGAACGAAAACACACAAATTCGCCTGTCTTCTCATTGAAAATAGCTACATTTCAAAATATCACTGTTCTGGTTACAAAAGCAAAGTTTTTGGGCAATAATAGACATTTTCTATACGTTTTAGGCACAAAAAATTACGAAATAACACTTACTACCCAGGAACAAAATTTCTGTTACATAGGGTATTCATTCAGAATGTATCAAGATTAATTCAAAGTCAATGCTCACCCACTGGTTTCCTGTATCATGGAGTAAACATTCGTGGAGCACACTGACTGATAGAACTAACATTGAAGCCACCTACACGAGTAGCATTTTGTGTTCTTCTTGTTATTCTTCTCATTTGTTAATCAGCAGTCTAGCACAGTGTCAGGCTTAAACAGCAAAGGCTTATTAGAGCCAGACTGCTTGACAGACGATTGACACTATCTAGCAAGAATACGAATTGCCACTTGTTTCAGTTTTGAGTCTGCTCTGTTAGTCTATGAGCCCACCGGAAGTGGCATAACTTCAGCAATTCCAATTTAATGATGTGGCCAACAAAAGTGAATTACGTGACAACCAAATGAAATGAGTGGGGCTATCAAATAATGCACTCTTATTAGCTGTATACATAAATTGGTACGACTAATGTTTTGCTACCGTAGATGGTACTGATGTCCACTCTGGTCCATGGAATCATATGTAAACGTTGGCAGATGTTCAGCGTGATGTGGAGAACGTCTGCTAATTTTGAAAGAACCTCTAGTATTGGAGGGGCAATAATATATAAAAAGAACAATTCATATTTTGGACATTTTTATTGTTTCCGCTCATATCTTCAAATCATGAATTCCTGTCACAACACAATATATTTATTATTTTCCAAAGCCATCATTAATCATTTTATTGCTTGATAATTATAGTTCTATCAAACATAAGTGCATAACATTTGAGGTGTGCCAAAACTCTAAGAAATACATGATTGAATATGCATAGTCCATTTTTTTGCAGAAACAAGATGTTAAGCCGCTATTCTAGAGGTTCCTATAGGAACCAGCAGCTGAGTCCTGGGTAGATTTCGGGAATAATTTTTAATTATACACTGTAGCTTTGGGCAATGTGCCAGACTTTGAGTAGTTTTAGAATTGTGTTTTTTTTGGTTCATTTATGTGCACTATCAGTAGAAGGCACACCAAGGGTGAATCAAATGAGCACGCAATGTATTTTCTCTAATATGTGTGCTCTTTTTAAGTGCAATGCCTGCAGTGTTAATTTCAAAAACTTGTAGTGTAATTGGCACCTATAATGGATGCGTGCTAGTTAGTATGCATTCATTTTCTTTTACTATAAATATCGTATGCTAATTCCGTCATGTGGTTCTATTTATTTTTCATGTAGGCATAGAAACCTCCTACCAATGGGAATGTCACCATTCGATTAGCATAGTTGGGGTACGTATGGTGCGAAATAAGTTCAACGTACATACATACCAATGAGGAATAGTGCAGTCTGTACAAATGCTTATATTGACCGATTAACAATTGATAATTTCTGCATGTCCCCTATTGGACTGTTGGGACAAGAGATCATCTCAGCCCATGTAGTTGTAAGGTCCATTGCATATTTTACTAATTAATTTACCGGTTTCAGTCAATGTAACTAATTGAAATGCAAGTACATTTATATTCAATTGATGATCTATATTCAAAAACCTGATGTCAGTTACAAAAGAACATGCAATACCTAATTATGCTTTGAGTCCCGGGCTGTATGACATTAATTTGAATTTTCAGTTAACAGTTAGTTCAAGGAGTGTGTCTGAGCGTGAACCAGTGATACAACTATACGGGCTATGGTGACAAATGAAAATACAGTAAATGGCACTTTCTGCGATGGTATAGCCCCTGAAAGTGACTTAAGGTATGTTTTGTTTTCTTTTTAAACGAATGCTGAATAGCCTGGGTAATTTAGCCGAGATATGCGTGTGTTGTACAGACGATACGTTTCTGCGTTGGGTTGTGCCTCCTGATTTGCGATTTCCTTAAACGGATTAACTACATGAACCCAAAGATCTAGCATTTAAAAAAAAATCCATTCGTTATTATCCGTGAAAATTATTTTTGCATTTACCATTTGCTATTTTCAAATAGTTCTTGCCCCCTGTCCTTGATTATAGGCTGTAAGAACATGGTGATGTTTCTTAGTTACGTTAAAACACCACCACCCACGTATTTTTTGGTGTTCTATCTTCTCTGAAATTGTTAATGGTACAGGTATTTGTCCCGTTTCCCTTCGCCTAATTGGTGTCACTCTGTCTTGTATGTCTCGGAGACCAGCGTTTTCACCTCTCCTGGCAGACAAAGCTAATTGTATGTTACCCGCCCCCCCCATGGGTGACGTCACACAGGCGCCAATGCCGTTTGTACGGCCACACGACCCCACACCAACACTGCAGCATCACGTTTTCTCCTATATTTTCTTCAATTTACAACTTGCATGTGCGCACGCACGCACGCACGCGGTGCTTTTCCCCTTCACAAATTGGTGGGAAACGAGCATACCACGGCCCTATTTAAGTCACACATTAATGTGATTCCGTTCAGCCAACAGTCACAACAGTCGACACATTTTCATTCTTTACAAGGTAGAAAAAAGAAACTTGGGATTTTTTTGTGTGTGTGTGTAGTTAACCAAGTTGATTACACTGTCGCTTGAAATTACAAACAAATGCGAGTTTATGTACCGTCGCCATACACGGTAATGTTAGCCAGATGCACATATACAATAGCGGAGCACATTCGCAAACATTTAGCAATGCCCCATTGTGACATTCTTTCAAGTCTTTAATCAGCATCACATTCTCATGCTCCGAACACCTGCAGGTGTGTGTGTGTGCAACGTGATCTGGGCTTCTATAAATTTGGCTGTCAAATGCACAACAGGCTTCCATTGTAAGGCTTGGTTTTTTGAAATGGGTAAGATATCTTATGGGGTGTTTTTACATTTAGTTTGTAACTTACACAAAGTAAAAGCTGTGATGATAAGTGCTATGGTTGTATCTTATATTTCACAACTGTAAAGAGGTTTCTTTTAAGACGTTTTACTGACGCACTTCTGTACCTTGTTAGGAATATTAAACATAATTAATACAGTTTATGTTCACAATGATTGTACACCTCCATGCATGCATGTGTCCTACATAACATGCACATTCTAATCCCTGTCATTTAAAATGTTTAGTGTGTTTAGCATCCCACGCTTTCAAATTACATTTTTAAATGTTTCAGATATACCATGGGCACAACTCTCTTTTTTAATTGGTATACGAAGCTCATTGTTTCAACAATGATGAAGAAAACTACCTATTAGTTACATTTTATGTTTCTGTATCCATAGTGTGATATGACATCTAATGAGCTAATTCTAATTATTCTGTCCCACCTGCTCTCGTATAGCGATTGGTGCCAAGGCTGTTTTTTAAAATCTTGTGCCGTGTGTAAGGGCCCCTCATACCATTGGTGTTGGTGGGCGGCTTTGACGCGTTAAATAAAAAAAAATTAAGACAAATACATCTGTGGTTAGGATTTATTTTTGATATTCTTAGGTTTTTTCGGTAAAGTCACGTAGGTAAAAACATTAAAAAGTAAAATAAAATAAAAATAAAATAAAATAAAAATCACGACGTTTCAGAGGCAACACAAGCTTCCGTCTTCAGGTGGTACCGTCACAGCCACGACGGCTGTATCAAGTAAATGAGAGATTGTAGGAGCTACCACTCCGTTTATATAATGGTTGAAGATGGTGGTGGGGTAAGGGCCGCATACTTTTATTAATATGGTATGCGGCCCTTGCCCCACCACCATCTTCAACCACTATATAAACGGAGTGGTAGCTCCTACAATCTCTCATTTACTTGATACAGCCGTCGTGGCTGCGACGGTACCACCTGAAGACGGAAGCTTGTGTTGCCTCTGAAACGTCGTGATTTTTATTTTATTTTATTTTTATTTTATTTTACTTTTTAATGTTTTTACCTACGTGACTTTACCGAAAAAACCTAAGAATATGAATCATTGCAGTCACGAAAGCTTCAAATCTAGAATTTATTTTTGAGTCAATGGAAATCAACAAACGCGTGTTCCTTTGGCACACACATATAATCCTATTCTGCCATCGTTGCTTTGAGAAACAGGTGGTTTAACTCGAGGACATGTACCAAGAGCAGCAACATAAAATACGGCCGTTCCAAACCGAAAACGGAGGTCGTGAATTGTTTCGTTTTCTTTGCAAGTTTCCTGGACACATTATCGAGCGTACGCAGGCATCCCGTGAATATGAATACTCTTTCAGAAAGTGTGAGGAGGTTGCGGTGTGATGTATGAAA